GCAAATTTGGTAGGAGCATCTAGTTACTCATATTAACAAAGTTGTTTGCTTGAGCTTAGATGGAAGCAAAGCTCTTTGCTAGAAAAAAAAACAGAAAGGAAAAGAAATTAGCAAAGCTAAGCTATCTTGGTATGTGCATCTTACATATACTATAAGACAAAATGAATGAAGGTTCCTCCTTCAAAAAACTTCATTCTCGAAATAGAGTTTAAAAGAATCCATTATTGTATTCAAATCAGTTTTAGTTTTCATTTTTTTCTTTTCTTTCTTTTATATATCATGATGTCTGTGTGAGTGATTTTCTGACCACACTACCCGCTTAGTAACCAGCTGGAGAACACCGGCAGAATAGATGGCGATTTTCTGACCACACTACCCGCTTAGTAACCAGCTGGAGAACACCGGCAGAATAGATGGCACCTGGCTGACCTGCAACAGAAAGAGAAGATTCCGACGGTGGTTCGTCCACCCGGGGCACTCCGACGATCAAGTCAGTATATCTCTCAAAAATAAATCAAGTGTTAAACTCACAAGCTTGAGTATCAAAAGCATACCTTAGACCCATGGGGGTGCCTCTCTTTTATAGCCAACATAAACCTAGTCCCAATAGAAGCCTAACTTCTATGGAGTCAGGATTACTACTAATCTTGGACTCCCAGTAAGATTAAGATAAACTCTCTAAGAGTCTTATCTTAATACAAACTGAAGTCTTCTCTCATTTTAGGACTCTTGCCCCTCATCCGCTTATCTCGGATTTCAATATCTTCGGAGGTAACCTTAGTCTATCCGAGATGACCTCGGCATAACAACCAGGACACGTGGCACCTCGGCTGACACGTCGGCGTCACTTTGGCCACATGTTGGTACTCAGAAAATATATCCCTACAATGTCTATCGACTACTATATCTTCCTGTCCATGAACGGGTGATGTGGACAAACTACTTATTCAAAAACTTGTATAGAGTATATGACGTTTGATCAACAAATGTACCTTTGAAAATATCTAAGTTTCAAATTAATCTTAACCTTAAAAATAGCTATTAGCCAAGCTCGTGCTAATGAACAACAAATACAGTCATTAGGATTATCATTTACGATGTGTTTGGTTGGAGGATTTGTAGAGAGATTTGGAAAGAAAAAAGGAAAAAGAGTGTGAAACTAGGTGAAATATAAGTATGTTTTATTCACATTTCACCTATATTTTCTAATTCCCTTTTCAAATCCTTCCTCAAATCACCTAACCAAATACACCATTAGTAACTTCATTGAAAAGATAGCATGGGCCACATGTTTAGACCTCTACAAGATCATTGTTGTTTTACTGAATGACACCATTAACCCAAACCATACTTAGTTAGATGCTCAAATTAATTGGCTTGGTAGGATTTTGGCAAATGTTGAAAGTTGCCAAAATACTTTCATTAAGTATATTACCTTCCAATCATATGGCCAATAATTTATCAAAACTAATAATAAATATATTAGCAATAAATGTTTTAAATAATAAAAATAGCACAAATAACGAAAAAAACACCAAAATAAAATTTTGATTTTGATTTCAAACGAAAACTGCAAGTTACTGAAGTCTTCATCTCCGGCAACAAATCTTATTGTTGTTCAAGATGGATCCGATAATTACCAAACAATTCAAGCTGCAATTGATATCGCAACAAAGAGGAGTAATAGCAGATTTGTCATATACATTAAAAGTGGTGTCTATAGAGAGTACATTCATACTAGAATCAACAGGAAAAATCTAATGTTGTATGCTAGTTGGTAATGGGTTAAGATGAAAAGTAGCTTTCTCTCATGCTTCACCTGTCAATGATAGTTGAGTAATGTTAGGTTTCACGAAAGAAATATCATGAAAAGTTTCATGAAAATTTCCACTCTTTAATTAGTTTATGGTGTTTTATTGTATGTATAATCTAAGAGTAGAGAATTTTCATAAAAATTTTCATGATATTTCTTTCATAAAACCTAGTATTACTCTTTATTTTAACCTATTACCAACTAGCATATAACATAAGATTTTTCGTGTTAATTCTAATATGAATATATTCTCTATAGACACCACTTTTAGAGCATGTTTGATTGAGTGGATTAGAGCATGGGATTAGGATTATTAATCCGTGGGCCCAATTATCCTATGTTTGTTTTAACATTTTGATTTAGGATTATTAATCCAATGGATAATTAATCCAACAAATTTGTAGGATTATTAGTAATGGGGTAGGGGTGGGATTATTAATCCAATGGATATTAATCCAATTGGATAGTGAATACCACACTAATTTAATAGGATTATTAATACTTCACTATTAATCTTGTGAATCAAACATGACCTTAATGTATATGAAAATTTTGCTATTACTCCTCTTTGTTGCGACATCAATTGCAGCTTGAATTGTTCGATAATTATCGGATCGATCTTGAACAACAATAAGATTTGCTGCTGGAGATGAAGACACCAGTAACTACCAATTTTCATTTGAAATCCAGGTCAAAAATTTATTTTGATGTTTTTATCATCATTTGTGCTATTTTTATTATTTAAAACATTTATTGCTAATATATTGGTTATTAGTTCTAATAAATTTATCGGGCATAGGATTGGGAGGTAACATACTTTAATGAAAGCATTTTGACAACTTTATCCTACCAAGCCAAATTTGAGCATCTGACTAAGTATGGTTTTGGGTTAATGGGGTTATTCAGTAAAACACTAATGCTCTCATAGAGGTCTAAGCATGTGGTCCAAGCTATCTATTCAATTAAGTTATTAAATGATAATCCTAACAACTGTATTCATTTTGGACTAGCACGAGCTTGACGTATAGCAACCTATAAGGTCAAAATTTGAAACTGACATATTTTCATCGGTATATTTGTTGATCAAACCTCATATACTCTATACAAATTTCTGGGTACGTAATTTGTCCACATCACCTGTTTATGGACATGAATGTATAGCCGTCGACCGACATGATACTATGAAAGAAAATAAAAGAAAACAAAACAAAACAAGAAAAAGAAAGCTAAAACTGATTTGAATACAGAAAACTCTTTTTAAACTCTGTTTTGCAAATGAGATTTTTGAAATGACACAAATTTCTGAATACAGGATTTGTCCACATCACCTGCTTAACATATAGTATTAGTGGAGTAAGAGGCTCACTCCAATTTCGTTTTCACCTATTCTCAAACAAACAACTTTATTAATATGAGTTAAGTATGATGATATGATAATTACTTCTTTTTCCTTTCAGTTTTCAAGCAAACAGCTTCGGCTCCACCTAACTTCAATCAAACAATTTTGCTTAATTCCATATAACAAGCTGATGTTAAAAACCAGTCCACAAAGTACACCAGACGGTGTTGGACCCATGAGGCCTATCACTGGTTCCTGTTTCAATAATCTTAACCGTTCAATGTGTAAAGCTCGTCGAATACTTTATCCCTTCAAAAAAAAAATCACATTAATCGGATATTGATAGATACTTGATCGGATCAAATTTTCATCAACAATTTATTTTGAAAATTATATTTACTGTTGACAGAAATCTGATCCAATCAAGTAGCTATCAATATCCGATTAATATGATTCTTTATAAAGATAAAGTACTCAACGAGTACTATACATGGAACGGTTCAAATTATCGAAACATGATCTATGGTAAGCCCCCACGGGCCCAACAACACACTCTAATCCAATCTCAAACTTGAGAGAAGCCTGACCCAAAAAATACTTTCATGTCAAATATTAGAATTATATGTTAAAAAAAAAAAAAGAAAAAAAGACCTATGTGACTGTGTCACACCCGCACACATTAAATAATATTTAAATAATTACATAAGATTTGTTTGATGCAACTTCTTATAAATTGATAATTAAAAAATAAAAACTAAAAATACTTCATCCTTAACTTTACAATAATTAATTTGTTTAACTTAATAAAACTGTTTTATCTCATAAATTATAACAGTTGCACCAATCAATCTGTCACATATTCTCAAGATAATATATATATACACACACACATCAGATAGCGCCATAGGCTTATAAATGTACAAGTCTCCTATAATTTTTTATTGGACTAATTGACCTATATTAATTTATTTTACCTCTATTTAAGTGGTGTTTTGAGAAGATAATAAAAATATAATTTTTTAGCCTTTTTGTAACTTTTTAGTTTTTTTGGCATAAAAAAGTAAAAAGGTGTTATGACTCGAAAAAATTAAAAAGTTAAAAAGTTGACTTTATTATACTCTCATGGCTCGAGCCTCACACTTACAACGTGATCTTAAGAGATAGTAGGCAAACAACTTCATTAGCACTTGCTTTTAAGTAGTAAAACATAAATGGTGATTGAAAACAATTTGTAAAACATATTACGCAATTACTATTAAAAAAAAAAAAAAATTTGAGGGTAAAGTTTGTTCAATGATATAAACATGAATAGTGAGTGAAAACAATTTGTAAAAAATATTAGACAATTACTATAAATATATATATATTGAGAGTAAAATTGATTCAATGGTATAATAATGTGTACTTGAGTGTTATATCTTTGTTATACACAAATTTAAACTATACTATACAATTTTTATGCATTGAGTATAGATGCCTTCATATCTTTAATTCAAGAAACTCCAATTTTACAGATTATACATTGTTTAGTGTTTGTTCTCATAAAATATTTATTTATTCTAAAACTACATTTATTTTGTACTTATTTTAACAAATCAAACTTGAACTCATTAAAAACTTATTTAATATCAACTTGTGTGTAAATAAATCAAATTTGAATACATTCTAAAATTTATTATTATTTTTTTAGCTCAAATCAAATTCTACTAAATAAACCCATATGTATACATTATATAAAACATCAAGCTAATTGAACTCAAGTGAAACTCATTTAAGATCAAGTTAAATAATAAATAAATCAAGTTTAAGCACATTGCTCAAACTCTTTAAATTTTCAAACATACACTCCTTTTTTTGATCAGAAAGCATCACATACCATCCAAAATGATGAACCAAGTACTTGAACATCCAACTCATTGAGAAGAATCAAAACTGGGTCAAGAACATAACCACTAACCAGACTTTAAAAGCCAATGTAACCATTCACCGATTTATGAGAGCAACCATTCCACTAGAAGGCCAACGGATAGTTACTTCATTGTCGCCCAAAATCATTCTGGCAAACCAAACGCTATCTAAAAGATAATACAAAGTAGCATGAAGGCTGCTTACCAGAATTGAGACTTCTCTAGCCCAAAAAGTAGGAAAAACAGAAAGAGGAATAAAATGAAAGAAAAAATAAGGAGAAATGGGTCGAACATAAAATCATTTACACTTACTCATCATATTGATATTTTATTATCTTTAATGATGATTTTAAATTGTAAAGTTTCTATTAATGGGAACTAAAGATTACTCAATAACATGACAGCATGAATGAGCCAATTTCAAAATTAAATTTCATGATAAAAAAATGCTGGTTTATTTGAAAACCAGATTGTGACAAGTTTTGTCACATGGGTACGGACAGTCGATGGCCTTATTGCCTGCTCGATCAAAATACCAATCTCCAACAGCTAGCGCAATCCCCTGCCATCATACAAAAATCTCATCTTAGATAGTTCACAACTCTTTCTTCTTTATGAGGCAACAAAACTAATGAAAATAAATAAATATTTGGTTATTTATAGCACATGTTATATAAGATTTAAAAGATTATCAGCATAGCATTGACTTCTTCAACGTTGTGCCACATTGTCACTTTTCAAGCTACTGAGATTTATTATGAAAGTAGGATTGTATCTTCTCCGCACTAAGGATTTCTAAAATCATGTTATGCTTACCTAAAGTTGTGTTCTTGAATCACTTTAAGTCAATTGAGGTAATAAGGCATTAAATCTTTAATTTTTGGTAACTTGTATTCTATTCAATGTCTTAATATCAAAATATTAAGGGGAAAAGAATCATACGCTGCCTCTGACTGAATGCCTAGTTACACTAATGAGGCATAAACCTCAAAAATCAATATTTGTTAAGTTAATTTGAATAGCCATATAAATACATGATGGACTGCAAATTCACAATGATATTCAATAGAACTATATCATAGCCGCCATGTACCCAAAAAAACCAAAAACAATATTATAATCACCAAATCATAAGAGTACCTTATTGCCAATGACAGGAGAATTATCAGCAAACCATGTATCCTGCCTCTCTGACTGACAGTGAGCAAAACATGAGTTTATGAACAACCCATTTTGTCTGGTCATAGAGAATCGTTTTACCACATTCAGCATATGATTCCTGAATCCTGCTCCGGAGAAGAGATAAAACCCTTAATCAGTTCATTAAACTCTTCTATTTTCATTTTCCAAAACCAATATGAAACCCAATATATGAAATCACCTTGCAGAAACTGGATTTGTGATGTTGAACAATGTGCATTGTTCATTTTGCAGTCACGCCAATAGCCATGAGGATCAGCTGATTGGGGAGCTAAACTAGCCTGGAGCTGAATTTAATTGGAAAAGAATGAGACTAATTTATCAAGATTGTCATTCAAGTCATTCAAAAGCCAACATAAAAGAGATTGTTTTACTGCAATAGTGAATCCACAGATGAACTATTTAGCAGTCTGCAGAAAAGAGATATTACCTGCCATGAATCATAGGCAGTGTTGAGAATAAATAGTGGGGTCTTAATATTGGCAATTAAGTTCTCGGGGAAGAAGCACTGTAATGGAAAAATGATACAAAATGGCAAGTTGAGTTTGAGAATAATGGGAAGTAATAGAATTTGCTATTTTATTATTCATTCAAATCCTAGATTTGCCAAGAAAAAAAATTAAGGAAAGGGACTCACTGAAGTCGGATCAAGATGGTTGGTACAACCACTTGGCAGATTCTTTTGCACCCCCTGTTGTAGTTAAAACATATTCAATTAAGCAAGAATATAAAGGATGTCAGATGACCATGATAGGAGAGAATTATTTAGGAAACTGGAACTAGTAAGTTATATGACACACGTGTACAATGATTTTAAAATTTATCAAGTCATACATCTCAAGGTCCAAAAATAAAAATAGCATGATTCAGTTTTCTTGATTTTTTTTTTTAATGTTGCAAAATATTCCCAAATGCTCTTTTGGCATAATTTTCTTTCTTTTATTTTTTTTCTTTCATTTTCCTATTGCTTTATAAATTTGGTTATCATGTTGGAATTAGCCGCTTGACTAAACCCTGTTAATTAATGACCTATGTCAATAAAAACAACAAACTGGCTTGCTCCAAATTTCACTAGATTTACATCCACCCAAACTATCATTTTAACTTTCAGATTCCCTCTCCAGTTTACCAACTAGGGGCAGCTTATGTTAGAAATTTGCGACAAGCTCTGATACCACTTTGTTGGAAATAGAATTTAAATCACTCAATACAATTTAGGGGGAGAGGTGGAGAGGCAGATAATACTTTGTGATTTTCATTCCCCCTAACATGCTACACTACACACTTCATCCACTTTTACTACATTACCAGAGCACATAGATATTGTAGGCTCTAACAACATGAACCTAGCAGTGTACATGTAATCTGTGAAGCATGGATATGAATACAAATACAATAGATACGGATATGAATATGGCAATACAACAAAACCTTAAAAAGTAGGATACATACAGGTATGATTACGATACGTTTGTAAAAAAAAAACAATGTATATTAATTCTTAATATATTGTATTATACAAAAGTTCAAAGAGAGGTGAGCAACAATTCTTTCAGAATCATGTATAAATTAAGAGCTAGTAACCAATTTACTTTATTTCAATAAGTCCTGTAAAAAATTTATTTCAATATCAAGTCTAAACTGGTTGTATTGCCTTTGTGGTTTTTCACTTTCACACTTAAAGTTATTGTATGAAAGTTTACCTACCTATTTAATTGTTGAAATATGATTTCAGTATCATTATTTTATTTTATTTTATTTTTTATTTATCCTTATTTTTTTATGAAGCATGCGTATGGATATGTGACACATGTATGACATATTATGGATACGTTTCGTCTCACTATCTACTTCTTCTCCAGAAAGTAAGGAAAGTATTGAAAATTTTGTAAGAATTTATGTATTATTGATTGATATTGATATCTGATTGTTGTGCTATTGATATTACAAGGCTTCCTATTATATAGGAGAGGATTTGGGAGTAGGTGAGTGTGTGGTAGGTGTAGGAAAGTAGGTGAAGTAGGTGAGTGTGTGTGGTAGTGGAGGTGGTAGGTGGAGTGGGTTATGGTAAATTCTAACAGCCCCCCGCAAACTCAAGGAGGATAGAAACTAACCAACTTGAGTTTGAAGAGAGGAACAAAACAAGAAAATACATAAAAATAAAAAAGGATAGGAGACATTGGATGGTCGTATCAGACCATTGGTGAAGGCACTGGATGGTGGTGTCATAACATTGTAGAGGACACTGTATGGTGGTGTCGTAACGTTGTAAAGGACACTGTATGGGGGTGTCATAACATTGTAGATGACACTGTATGGTGGTGTCATAACGTTGTAGAGGACACTGTATGGGGGTGTCATACATGCAATACAACTAAGCTTAGGAGGATACAATCAAGTTTTTAGTAATTACGCATCCAGGAATAATCCAGCATCACTCAGGCACTTCACTCTAGTACTTCTGGGGAAGAAATTTCGGAACTCATCACAATGCAATATAGATGCCAGACCCCCAGCAGAGCACCCTGACAGAAGAGCCTGAAACATAATGGTTCATATAATCATACAAGAAGAAACAAAATAAGGAAAAAATAAATAATGTGGTCAAACTAAAACCTGGTTTGCATTGCGCATCCCTTTTGACATTAGATCTTCAACAGCAGCTAACCATATGCGTTGTCCTCTAAATTGTAGTTGTGCAACCTAGAAAGAAAATCAATATTCTTTAAAAGAAGTGTGATTAAAACATTGATCTTAACAAAGGTTTGACTCAATACAACCAGATGCATGTAGGACTATATATGAACAGAGTTGAGCCAAGAATTGGGTCACTCAAGCTTAGTTCAAAAAGTTTAGTTCAAAAAGTCAAACAACCTCGAAACAATTCTCAAGCTTAACTCATATATCTTATGAGCGACCACAAGCAAGCTTCTATATGAGCCAATCTTGGTCTAGGATTGAATAGCTAGGCTTTGTGTATAGTTTGAGGTAGCTGTTAGTTTATCAAACCGAGTTCAAGTTAAGCTCAATACAAGAATTCATCTGGGTATGTAAAAATGATCCAAATTTAAGTGGAATAGCTATTCATAAAACTTTAAATAAACACAATAACTCATCTCCTCTCCAGTCTCTAACCTATATTAGTTTATAACATTACCAGAATAACATATCTCACACATATCATATGAACACCCACCATGAAAATCATGGAAACAGTAAGGCTCCCTTTGGATGGGTGGATTTCAAATGAAGGGATTTGAGGTTCAATTTTATAAAATTATAAGAAGATTAGTTGTTGAAGCCAGATGATAACTCTAGTGGAGGATTGAATAGAGGTATGTTTCATGAATTGTGTTGGGATCCTTGTACAAGTATATCTTTTATGGAATCAAATAACTTTTTTTGCAAAGTTATTTGAAATCCTTCCATTATAAAGGCTATATCCCAAAGACTTAAAAAGGCTTAAAAAGGCTATATTCCTCAAATTATTGATGTCAATCCGTTCATGTCAAATCCATAAATCCAAAGGGAGCCCGTCTTTGTTGATTCTATCAAATATTAGCATCAAAATACCCCTTAGCAACAAAATGCTATAAATTTTCCATTATTGCCGAAGGCAGACATAGATTGAGCATTACTTGATCTTGTAATTAGTCATCCACACAAGCTTCCTAGTTATGATACACCACACAAATTATATGCTGCAAATTAGGTGGGAGACAACATTAATTGGAACCACTGGGAACAACTCAACGACGTGTAACACTAAGGCAATTTGTCAGGAGGATGAAAACAAAGTTTTATTTTGTATGGCCAGCCCGCTTCGTGTTAGAAGTATCCTCTTTTCAAGAAATTAACTAGAAAATGTAGTCCAAAGAAGTACTAAATGTCAAAGTAGACTCCTTTAACCTGTAAAGTAAGCCCCTGTTCATTTCGACTAGGCACATTTCACATGGACAGTTTTGCACAATTATAGAACTAGGTTAATAGATCAGCAGGTGCTCTATACATGGGTATCTATTAGACTCAGAAATATTACTTTCTCAGCTTTGCCAATCACCTTAATTACAGTACATCTAAAAGAAATTAGCAAAATCCAATGAGTAATGTTTGGTAGAAAATTATTTCCTATAAAGACCATTCCTTTATGCACCATTTGGCAGCCAAAAGACACAGATGGTAATGAAGTGCCCTCAATCCCTTATATGGTACACAATTATTTGGGTCAGGATTGGGTTGTAAGGTCTCAATTCATTCAACTTTTTTGCTGCAAAATAGGCGATATGCAGAAAAATAGAAAAATGCCACATAGTCCCACTAACCTTATCTTCTCTATCCCCTGCAAAGGAGGCACCATCACAATATCGAAGCTTGATTCTATTCCAGTTGAAGAAATCTGCAGATGAAACCAGCTAAGCAAAATGCAATAGCAAACAAGGATAAACACACACACATGCATAAGTAGCATTGATAATATCACAATATGTAGTTTGAGATTTTCTTCAGACCTGGATTTTCTTCAGCCTTGTTGCTAAGTATTCCTGTAAATGGAATCTGCTTTTCCATGTAAGTATATGATCCACGCCGAGTCTTTTTACGGTAAACACAAGATCTTATGCTATTACACCATCCTCCACCCTGTCAACAAGATGCCTCACGAAGTCAGGTTCTCAATCAAAACCAAGAATTATAATTGGAAAAACTGCAGCAGGAAGTCTACTACCAAGAAATTGTCATCTCATCAAATTTGAATAATAATAAGTTGGCAAAAGTAAATGACAATTTCCTTAATTTTGATAAAAGTATAACTTGTCCAAAAAAAAAGTATTATACTTCTTGTAATGCAAACAGGATAATGGTAACAATTTTCTTGAACACTTTCTTACATAACCCAATCAAACAAACAATAATAATTCGCTGGAGCTAAAGTCAATGCAATTTTATAGAGAAGTCCAATTAATAATCATAACATAGCACTCAAAATTCTCATATCACTTCATTTTTATTTTAACTCCAAACAATTGGAATCAATATTCTTATGTTTTTTAAGCACTAGAATAGCGAAAACCCAAGTAGAGATTAATCATGCTTAGAAGTTTTTATTTATTTTTGTAATCATGAACAGGGAAAAAGTAATAAAAGGGGAGGGGAGATAAGATGAGTGTTGCTGAGATGAGGATGCTAAGGTGGATGTGTGGCAAAACTATAAAAGATAGAGTTTGGAATAAGTATATTCGAGAATGGGTAAGAGTAGTACCAATAGAAAATAAGTTGAGAGAGAATAGATTGAGATGATTTGGTCATATACAACGGAGACTAACAGAGGCAGTAGTAAAGAGATGCGATACAGTGACGGTAGATGGAAGTGTTAGAGGAAAGGGGCAGGCCTAGATTGACGTGGGCTAGTGTAGTAAATAGAGATATGAACCTTCTTAATTTGACTAACGAAATGGTATTGGATAAAGTCCAGTGGAGAAAAACGATCTACGCAGCCGACCCTATTTGATGGGACTTAGGGCTTGGTTTGGTTTGATTTGATTTAATCATGAACAAGGGTGGGCCTTTGTACAGTAGTTAACTGTTCAAGAGAGATTATCTACAAAGGATCAAATTAGGAGATGGGGTATTGTTGATGACTTCTGTTGTGTTGTGTGTTAAGTAATAGAGATGAGGAGAGACACTATCATCTATTCTTTGAATGTATTCTTTCACAACATATTTGGAAGCAAATATTGGATAAGAATCAGATTATGAGGAATCCCCTGACGATGAATGAAAGGCTTTTGGGGCTGTTTTTCTCATTCAATCTACAAGTTATCTTTTGTTGCTTCTATATAACATGTTTGGATTGAAAGGAACTTCAAAATTTTCTCTCAACACTTATTCAAAGGCTGAGGCTGTTCTGGGTAGAATCGTTACTGATATTAGTAGATTGTGTTCTCAGAGGAATGCTGAAGATGCACAAATAAATAGGCAACTTTGTAGCCTATGCTGAATTTCTACTAAGATTCTTAAGTCTTGATTGTTTGCAGTAGGTGACTTCTGTTCAGTTCTTGTCTTGGTAAGGATCTTTGAACCTGTTGTTTTCTTTGTTTGATCTGGGATATGTCCAGTTACAGTTTGTATTGTTGTTTTTGTGTAATAAAAGTAATTTACCAAGAAAGATAAAAAATATAAATAATAATATAAATTCCTGAAACAGTGAAACTTACAGCATCTCTAGTAGAGATGCTAAAGCCATTGTCAATGTAGCATGTTAGCAATAAGTAGCCATTTCCTAATAGTTAGTGCTCCAATGGAGCTGTTAAGTTCGATGTTAAAGAAAAGGTGTCAGATGTTGTTGTATGTGTTGTGGATAGTGTGTTAACCAACCCAACATTAAAATATTGTCCATCTGTCATGGCTTCCAAAAAGCAACCCACATTCTGAAAAAATATATTAAACTTAAACCCATTTTTAAAATTTTACCCATTTTATTCTCTTACATAAACACATTTATACAGATTCAAATATACCTCACTCTTACCAAACGCACACTAACACATCTTTTAACACCTCCATTAGAGTACCCACCCACTCACTAAATTAACCCTTCACACAACAAAAATAGACTCCCCTCCCCTTTTATTACTTTTTACCAGTTAACACATCATTTTAGCATCTCAATTGGACATGCTCTTAGACAGTGAACTCAGGATTACAGCAGAACAAGCAACAGGACACTTGGATCCAGAAATAAATTTTAATAGTTTGGATTATTGTGTGTACACACAGTTAACAGTATTTTTGTATTTGTTTTCTTTTGTGCAAATTCATGAAAGAAAACAGTCATCTAATTACAATGCAATTATTTCTTAGTTGTCTCACAAACCTCCAATTGAATAAGCCAGCTGTTTGCTCCTGACCCATATCCATGGTGCAAGTGATAACCAGGTAATGTTCCATCCAAACATACTGTAAAAGTGAAACAAAAAAGAAGATAAACAAGGAAAGGAGGCTCTTACTATAGTAAGGAATAGTAAGAATCTATGGAAACCATCAATAAAAAAAATCACAAAAGAAGAGATTTACCACCATTTAGGTTTGAAAGTAAAATTCAAAATTAAAAAATAAATAAATAAAGGCAAATAGGATGGATAGCTTCATAAAGTAATCTCGATTAGGCTAACTTTACTAGTTCAGTGGGGCAGCAGTTACCTAAAGTATATGAAAATGCATCATCAATTAGAGAAAAGGAATGGTGTGACTTGCTAAATTTCACCACATCCGCCAATTACAATCAATGACAACCAACACTAATTTTTTTCTTCTCTGTTTTGACATGACCATAGAAGTGGCTACCAATTCAACATGTTATCATAACACACACAATGGAACCTGTGTTCAAACCTCACCAACTCACAATGACTAAAATGCTTTGTAATGCTGACCGCAAGAGGACATGTTAAGAATATAAATAATAAAATTATCCCCAATCTCTAATGGAAAATGTTTGGGACCCCCACAAAAGAGGACTCCCATGACGCCCACTGATGTATTGGCCGTGTTTGAATTTTTTTTCGGAGTTGTGTCTGACCATGACATGAATAGTTCAGATCATTTTGGGGTTGCAAGGGTTGTGTTTTGTGAGGGTCTCTATCATTACTGATCTCTAACCACTAAAACTTTTAGATGGTTCGATGGTTAACAATTCAAAACAGCTACCCAATGAAAGCCAAGACAAATGGGCCGGCAAGGATCCACACACACACTCCCTCAAAGATGGGTTTGAGTGACAGCTTGACCCAACCCCCCAAGGGCATAATGGCAACACTAGATAATAAAACCATGTTAACTAAGTCAAAAGCACCTCAATCAGATCACTCACCTAATTTACAGTAAACCAAAACAAGTTGGAATAACATGGAATTGTCAAAACAGAAAAAATCAAACACAAACAAAAAACTTAGTTTTAACACACAAAGAAAACATTGAAAAGTAAAATTAAGATGTGCAGATAAATAGAATCTTAGACATACAGTTTAAGGTTCTACAAGTCATAAGCAAATCAATCAGTATTTCTAGCAAAAGTACAGAAAACAAATTTTTTTTTTTTTTTTAAATAATAGAAAACAATCAATACAATGCCCTTATAAATCAATCCACATAGAAGAAAAAAATTGAAAGATACATATATTTAGAATATGAGACTTGTGTATATCAATATATATATATATATATAGAGAGAGAGAGAGAGAGAGAGAGTACCAGCGCCTTTGGCAGCAGCTCCTTGAATAAGGGTGAGGCCCACCATGAGAGGGTAACCGGCGGCGGAAGCAGAGATTCCATAGATAGACTCCAATGGAGGCTCCGTTACATTAAAATACTCAAACCCATCTACACATTTGCTAGCAAACCCAAACCCAACAACAACAAACACAACCCACAAACCCATCAGCTTCCTCATGCTTCTCTCCACCTCAAATCTCACCCCCCAAAAGAAACCCAAATTATCTATATAAAAGCATATAATATCACAAATAAACACATATAACTCAATTATGAACACAATGTGGATAGTCTAACAAATGGGTTGGGAAAATCTAGCATGAGAAGGAAAGATAGAAAAAAAAAAAATGAAAAAGGGATGTGGATCTGTCAGATAATTTGTGACCTCAACAGTGGTGTTAGCTATAAGTAGAGACATGCTCTTAGACAGTGAACTCAGTAAGTAGAGAGTTTGGTTGCATTGCATTTGCCGGGCTTTTTAAAGAATTTTATATATAATATAATATAAATGAAAAAAAAGACAATATATTATATATATTTGTGTAAGTTTTTATAAATATAAATAAATTATCTTATAAAATTATGTAAATTTTTAAAAAAATATTATAAATCTCAAATAAATTACTAAATATTTTACCAAATATTTATGTGAATCTCATTTGGTAAAATATTTAATAATTTATTTGAGATTCTTAACATAACTTAAATTTTTATAAGTATATATAAATTAATTCATAAAAATTTAAAAAATTATAAATTACGTATTAAAATTTACATAGTTTTATAAAATAACTTATATATATTTGTTAGAATTTATGTAAATACAATAGGATATGTACCTTACCCACGTAAAAACTTCTCATAAAAAAAAAATATAATAATAATAAGAGTGTAATAATGGTACAAGAAGGCACGTTTCGAATCGTAGAGAGTGATTTGAGAATGGCCGATCAAAAGCAAAACTCACGGGTGTCCACAAAGTTGGTGGAGTCACAGACGCTTCGTGACCGTCCATATGCGGCTCACTAGCATCCATTATGTCCAGCAAAACTCAATCAATAATATAGGAGGTAAGAATTACAGGCTGTTTTGAGAATTTGATTAAAAATTAATTTTTGATTTTTAATTTATTTTATGTCATATTATCTCTTCATTGTTTTATAACTTTTTTTAAAAAAATCAAAAATCAACTTTTTATTAATTTCTCAAAATAAATATAGATCTAAACTTGAAAAAGAATCACAATATAGTATTGGATAGTATTATAATTTTTACATTATGTCTATTTAATTTTTAAATTTAAATCTAAAATTGAAAAAATTTGAAGGCAATAGGTTCACTATAAATTCTACTTTAATTATTTAAATTATTCATTTTGTAAAATTATCAATATATATTATTCATAAAAATAATTAGCTTCCTATGATTATTATAACTTTTTAATTTTATCATATTTATCTCCAAATATAAATAAATAAATAAATGACGCCTATTTGATTTTGAAGTTTTTAAAAATAATTTTTGATTTTTCAATTCACATTTTTTTTGTTCTAGTAAACTTTTTAAATTTTTTTAATTAATTTTTTTTCTTTACAAATCCTCTTAATTTAGTTATAAGCATAAAATTTGTGTAAAAAATTACTAAATAGTAAAATATAAAAATGGGAGATTTATTAGGAAATCATTTTTTAAATACTTGTATCTTAATTAGTTCCTAACAAATTTTTATATTTTAATAAATCCTATTATTTGGACATTTAATCCACCAAATCCTAATTCTCATATTTAAGATATTTTATAGACAGTTTTACCCTTATAAATATTTTTCGAACAGTTAGCAACTTGGTGATGTGAACATTTATATTTTATAATGTGAATGTTCCATGTCAATGTGAATATTATTGTTAAAAGTATTTGGATAACTATATCATTCTTAGAACTTATTAGAATATAAAAAATAATTTAGACTAAGTGAAATATAAATATATGAAGAGAAATTTATAAATAAATGCTCCTATAAAAATATATATATATATATATATATTTAATATATTTTTTATTTTTTGATTTTTTTCAAGGATTCCTTCTCAACTATTTTACTTTTTAAGTAAATCTATATTAAATGCATCTGAAAATAAAAAATATATATTTAAGAAAATTTTAAAAAAATGATTTTTTTCAAAGATTCCTTCTCAACTATTTTACTTTTTAAGTAAATCTATATTAAATGCATCTGAAAATAATATATATATATGAGAGGTTAATTTTTGGAAAAGAATTGGGTCGAGCTGTGAGTTGGGCCATACGGCCCAAAGTGTGAAAGAATCGATAAGAAGCCATAGTATTATTTCGGCCCAGTAGAGGTATAGATACTCCGGCCCAGGAGAAATGAAGTTATTCCGGCACAGGAGAGGTGTGGTTACTCCGGTTGAAGAGTGTGTAAAGCAACTCTGGTCCGGTGGCAGTTTGAAGTGAGTCCGGCCTTGCATTTAGTCCGGTCGTGACATATTATGATTAGGTCGGTCAGAACTTGCTACTTGGAAGTTTGATCTAAATACACCATGGTTGAACAGGGGAAAGCCGAGATAAGGAGTTGGAGGAGAAGACCGAGCTAAGGATAGTTCGGCCTTCTCTGCGGCTCTGCGTAGCCAAGTTTATTTCGGTCATGTAGTAGTTCGGCCAAAGTGAAAACCATCCCACTTGGTTTAAGCAGTGGGGGAGGGTGTAAAAGGATAAGCATTATCCTTAGGAGTATGAATCCTAGGAGGACTCTGCATGGAGAAATACAAGTCCTACTAGGATTGTGCCACAGGAAACTTATAAAAGCTCACAAGCACCACCTTGGAGGAGGTAATTGAACATAATTCTTTCTGAGAGCATAAAACTTTGTCTATTTGTCAAGCTTACTGACTTAGGCATCGGAGAGGTTTCCGGCACACACCCGCCGGCTAGCTCACGTTTGTGTTTTCAGGTGACAAAGCGACGTCATACGGAGGAGCGTGGACTTGGTCAACAGGATTATACGATGAGAATTATTTCCTCCCCGTACAATATGATAGTGATGTCTTTCTAAATAAGTATTTCAAAAAAGTCCCGTTTAGCTATTGCCAAATGGAGCCAAAAGTACTTTCTTTATTTTATCTGTTTGAGTCATATTTTTTATTTTACTTAACCAATCAAATTAACTAAATTATTTTTTAGAAAAAATAGTAGAAACATAAATAAAAATACGTGTATGTTTGGTTTAAATTTTTTAGATTAAGTTATTTAAAATTTGAGTTTTTTATTTTTATTTTTATTTTTGTTTTTAGTGAATGTTTTTAAAATTATAAGTATTTTTTTTTAGATACACCTTACTTAGATGTATCTAAATTGTAAAATATTTGTAAAAAAATATTTTTAAAAATTAATAAATACATAAAAATATGAAATATATATTAATTCTCATATTATTATTATTATTTTTTTGTATTTTTGGTATTTAGTGAATTTTTAAAAGATTTTTTTCACAAATTATATTTTTTACGTGTATTTATGTTAGGTGTGTCTAAAATTTTTTTTAAAAATTGCTTAAAATATTAACAAAATTCAGTAAAAACAAAAAATAAAAAAGTAGAATTTTCAGAAAAATGTTTCTGAATTTTTTTTTTTTGAAAAACCAAAAAAAAACAAATGCTTTTTTTTTTAACATGTTACATATGCACCTAATGTTGATGTGACATTTATAAATATTTATTTTAAAAATATATTATTAAATTAATTTTTTAAATAATATTTTTATACAATCATATTTTTAAACGATCACATTTTTTGAACGGTAATATTTTTAAATGATCAAATGGGCTAGAAAAAAAGAAGAAAAAACAAATATGGAACAAGTAAAGATGCAACAAAGATGGACGTGGCAATTAGATATGGGCAAAATGATAGGAAAACTCTTTGCCTAGCAATGGATAGTAATTACTTAAGGAGAGCCAAAATAAAAATGGGCAAAATGCCTTGTGATGGAGAGCCCTTTGGAGGAAGAACAACACAACTTTCACTGGTAAAAATGCTTCATATCGGCCTTTTGTCTCCATCCTTTGAGATGCTCTAATAAATATTGAAAATAATGTTTCGGTGCCCTTTCTTTTGGTTTGTATAATATATATTTATAAAATATAGCTATCGTAATTTTTTATATATCACTCGTTGCGGTATTTTTATTGTGATCTAATGGTGCAAAATCTATTTTGACTTATTCTAAAAATTAGGCGTGGTTCTTAAACACGGTCCAAAGATGAAACTAAAGCCTTGTTTGGCAATTTACTGTTTTAGCCTAAAAGTTAAAAAATCACTAAAAAAATTAAAAAGCCAACAAATTATACCAAAAAGTCAAAAATTCCCATTTCTCACTACTTTTTACACATCTTTTCCTAAAAAATCAAAAAGTCATCTCAAACATACTAGTTTTTTTATATCATATTTTAGTCAAAAAATCAAAAAGTTACTAGAAAAACATATCAGTAGATCGGCAGAATAGAAACGGGCGTGGCAGATGAGATAACGGAGAAGACCCAGACAAAAGATGGTTGAGAATCCGCACTGCCATAACAACGGTGTTCAAAAAACCAATATATCGGATTCTGAGCGAAATAAAAGATGAGCCTTTCGTCAAATGGCCAGCCAAGCTAGGGGAAGCTCAGAAAGATTACAACGACAAATCACGTTGCACCTTCCACAAAGAAAAGGGGCACCGAACTAAGAATTGCACACCGTTAAGACAACACTTGGAAGAGTTTGTGGCAGCAGGCCATTTGGACAAATATATTGAAGGAGGGACGCAACCAGCCCTCTTAGATCATAATAACCATCCCAATGGGATGCAGATCGACACCCCACCACAAGGCATCATCAATGTAATACATGGAGTCTTTGAACCTGAGCGTGTATGCGAGCTCAGAGGATCAATCAAGAAGGGTGAGCACTTTAGGGAAGTATTAAGTGCCCAACCTGCCATCAAGAAGGGGAAGACAGAGGCAACAAACGTCATGTCTTTTTCGGATAAGGACCTGGATCGAATATGTTGTCCTCACAATGATGCTCTGGTTGTCACTCTCCGAGTCAAAGATTTTGACGTCAAGCGGATTCTGATTGACCAGGGTAGTTCATGTGAGATCATGTACTACGAAACATTCAAACAGCTGAAGCTGCAAGACAAAGACTTGGCGTCTGCAGTTTCTCCCCTAATTGGATTCAACTCCATGCCAGAATGGCCTGTCGGCAAAATAATTCTTCCAGTCAGAGTAGGGAGCGTAACAAAACAAGTGGAGTTCTGGGTATTGAATGTCCCCTCCACCTACAACATCATCTTAGGCAGAACATGGCTGCATGCCATGCGTTCGGTAGCGTCATCATACCATCAGGTAA